CCTCTGTGCCGGCCACAGCCAGCCTATTCTCATATGGATCGATCACAGGAGTAGCGGTCCAGGCATATTCAAAGTTGAAGTATCGGTGATAAGATGCAAACGCATTCGACTTACAAAATGTATTTCGGACTAAAAACTAAAGGCCTAAAGCTAAAGGGCGCACCTCGGTGAAGTTTTGCTGGATCTAACTTGATTCCCGTAGCCAAACGCACACGGAATTCCAGAAACACAATTGTGCTCACGGAAGATATACACTTGCGTCAATCTGAGTACCGATGCTTGCTCGATGCAGCTGACGCACACGCCGTAGGTGCTGTAGATGCTCTTGAACGTTTCGGCGAAACCCTACGCTGCGGTCCATGTAGACAGCCATCCAGTCCTCCATGACAGGCTACTGACAATGCTGTTAGACTTGTCGTTGTAGTGTTTTGGGGATATTGAAGAGTATAACCGGCACCCAGGGTACTCGACGCTGCAAACACGAGTGTGAAGCGCTGTTTTGCGCTTGGCGTCAGGGTGAATAGGGATGTGTAAGATTGCGTCTGGAAGCTAAATGTCGTTAAGACTCGTGGGCCTCTTAGAATGTGAGGCGATTCAGCGTTGCGAAGCATTCGGAGTTTCCGATATACAGTGCTCTTCTTTAGGGGCTCACAGTCAACACAAATGTGCCACATTCCGTCCTTTTTTGTCATCACTACCGGGTTGTACATAGAATCAGTAGTGAATTCTTCCACTTTGTCCTTTTCTGGTATATCATCCGCCCAAATTTCAATGGTTTGCTTATGCTGTTGGGATTGTTGATAGTTTGGAACGTATTAAGAGCTAACACAGGGATTTGCTGCATGCGGTGCACTGAACAACCAGTAGCTGGCCAGTGTGTTGGCAGTTCCTCAATGTTTAGTACGTTCGCGAATTCCCCCTTGATATTTACTTGGTGATTCTAGATTCTCTTCGTTGGAATGTTCAGTCAAATCCCTCAAAGAAGAATTGTTTCGAATAAGGCGAAAGGCATGCTCTGAACCGTCTTCTCGTGCTGCTCTGCTGAGCCACACTCATGAAGATTCTGCCTCACGTGGTTGAGATGCTGACTCTAGCACACACACCATAGATGACAAGGACACTGTTAGAGGGACAAGGAGCCGCTTTCTCCTGGAGCTTCCCGGCACACTAACCTGCACAACGCGCAGCTGTCCCCGCATGCGCACCTTTCATTGGTTTGCTCATGGCCTACCATGGAAAACTTGACTGTGCACCAGTCCAACATAGAAGTTGCAGACCATGCTGATAGTACCGTACTCCATTTCACAGCAGCTTTTGACTTCAGCAGCCTGGCCGATGCTTGAGTTCTGCTTCCCGGTTGTAAAAACTAGTGGAAACCTGAGTCTTAGGGAGTGCTCCAGCAAATGAAGAAGCAAATTCTACTTCTGGGCCGTCTACACAGGAGATACTCAGTTTGCAGCCACTATCAAGTAATGCTAGCAATTATTGACCATTGATGTGAGCTTGTCTTTTGTCGAAATTGCCGCGGGATGGTGTTCCTCATCTGTGGCTTCATCGTCGCTGTCCGGCTGCACTGAGCGTCAGCCAGCGTGAGGGGCTTTCCAGTCCCCTAATGCGCCTGTTTTGCTTGCCACGCCGCCTGCTTCCGATGGGGCAGTCCATATTCCATGCGTTTGTAGTTTAGGCGAATACGGCCCGATATTCCACAGTTGAAGTGTATGCGTCGGGGGGGCTGTCTGGGGCTGCGTAGGAGCCCAGGATTTTTCCTGCTTTCCTTTTTCGCTCACCCAGACTGTAGGCCAGGGTAGGTTGACATGCTACCAATACGTTGGGACTCTCTAGCTGGTTTTATCTCTCAAGCCAAAGATGAAGAAGGTACGCCCATTCGCTCCTGTTTGTGGGAGACTCACCGGTGGTTGTTTATTTGCTTAGTCGCTGCCCATCGTGCGATTACCTAAAGTGACACTTCGGATACACCTGGGATATAGTACTGAGAAAGAGATTGTTTATCTGCGTTGTGGCTTTCCAGGGCCGAAATTTCATGTTTCTCGGCATACCGATTTATTTATAGTTTTTCCTGCTTAGGCTTTTCCGCTCTCCCACAGCTTGCTGGTAAGGTGATCTCTGCATGAACAAATGATTCACATGTGTACTAACCATGTAATAATCCTTGATGACAGGCAGCTTCGTCTACATGAATAGAGCCACCAGTGACGTGTCCGTTCCTACTTATGAGTATGCCGAAAGGAAAACCCGATTCCCCTCATCTCGGCAGTACGAAGCGAGGCACACCCCTAACCGACTGATGCAATTTTCGGTTATCTGCCCTTAAGGGCCTCATACTCTGTTGATCAGAATAAACTCATCAACACATCCATAGACATTTATGCAGCTGAAAAATCATGCTTTTCTACTAGCTGGCAGCTGGCACTTTCATATGAGTTTGCCGGCCGGCTATGCTGCCCCACCAGGCAGTAAGTCACAGTCTGTACCCGTCAACAGATGCCTTTATTCAAGCTTGATGTCATAAAAACAGAATAGTATATGGCAAGCTGGTACTCGATGGACAAATGTAATTCGTTGCTTTTGTTCGTAATCTTGTATCTAAGTGCCCATATAGTTGAGGCTGCTTGCTAGTTCCAACATATAAACTGATCACAAGCATTCATGGTTGCAGCGAAACCTGAAATCCCGACTACCTCCATAGCCACTTGAAGGGGGTAAAACACCTGCATTGAACCATGTAGCACTAACTGTAACGCTTTATTTATTGTTTGCGTGATGATATATTTAATTCCTGACTCAATACATAATAATATACCTGTAGTTGTGGAGGGCTTTTCTAAAGAATTAGTGCCTTACCCCCGAAGCTTCGAATTCATCGACATAACGGGAGAGAGATAGCTACGCTGCGCGTGACTAGATCCTCTAAGCACCTTGAATATACAGTTAGTTGCACAAAGCAACTAGTGCATATGCACACAAAATTTCATCTTCTTGTGCGATCACTGTTCTCTGCAACAAATCGTAACAAAAAGCTTGCCAATTAATAAATAATTCACCAGTTCTCAAGTCAAATATAGCTAGCACTGCAAATAGTCTTGTTGCATAGCTTTGCCGCATTCATTCTTTCGGCACTCCGCATACTGCTTGCTAAAGCGGCGATTCAGCACACTCGATACGTCGAGTATTTCGAAGTTTTCCCCGTGTATCTTTCGAATTACTTTTGTTTGTAGCTTAGAAGCAGCTTCGAGGATATATTTTCCAGAATTTTCAACAAAATCATGAATGTGGGATAGCTCTATTATTTGTAATTTCCCTGATTCCAATAACTTATCGTCCTCGGCTCTACTCATTAGCTGGAAGTTCGTCCCAAGAAGTGGCTCGGATACGAATTAGGTCCACGAGCAGAGAGAGGCTGCAGATTTTCTCCGCTTGCAAACAGGGGCAAGTGCATTGACGTACAAACAGTACATCGGCACACTGTGTAGCACAGCTGACAGATACGCGGACAGCAAATACTCTGCAAATAAGGCAGACTCCTGCCCTAATGGACCGATTTGAGGCATTTGAACACCGCTAAAGAGCCCATATGAATTGAATCGAACTTATCTACCACGCCGAGGGCCACGTCTCCGCAGGCATGGGATCTTGCGACAATAAGACTCTAGCAACCGTACCACTGACTAGTACAGCCACTGTAGTTCGTAGAGTCTGAAGTTTAAGGAGCAGGATCTCCCTACTGTCAAGTTTTTGACTGGGGCCCCACGCATGCATGCAGCCCATCAAAAAATGGGGTCGGCCACGAAGGCGCTACAGGTCCGCCTGCAGGGAATTTCAGGGTTGCGGATCTCTCCTTGGCCGACTTCCGCTTTCTTTTTTGTAGTTCATCATTAATTGAAACTCCTGTACTTATGCTGGTGGAAACTGGGCGGCGTCAGAAGCGGAAGTCCTCGTCGGGGGGTTGGCGCTGCAGCGGCAGAGGCGGTGGCCAGGCAGCAGCTTTCTGCTTCCCGAGGGATATAGAGCAAGGGCTTTGTCTCATTGGACTTGCCCTCGGTGCTGCCCGCGCTGGCACAGCCTTCTCAGGAGCATCAGTACAAGCGGCAGTAGCAGGGTTGCAGAGGGTGTGCCAGCAACAGCTTTAGTGCGTGGCGCGGAGGATGGAGGGCAAAGAGGCCGAGTCTTTAGACGCGCTCTTTGCTGTCTTCAATGACGGAGGCGCACCGACCGGACAGCCACCAGCAGCGGCAACAACGAGGGCTGCTGCTCGTGCTCCTGCTTCGCATGGTGCTGCTGTTGCTGCTGCAAAGGAAAAGAAAGAAACAGCTGGTACCAGCGGCAAGCGGGCAGGCAGCTCGTCCGAGCAAAAAGCAAGGAAAAAGCGGCGTGGTACTCCCGCTTCCCCTGAGACATCCCATGCTGCCCCCATAGCCGCAGTCAAAAAATCCGTGGAGGCGTCTGAACCCGAAGCACCAGCGGAGCTGGCTGTTACTTCAGTCAAAGCAGGGGAGACGCAGAGAGCGGATTCCGAAATTCCCGTAGTCGAGAAAGCCTTCAGAGATGCTCCCGTAAGTGATGGTTTGGTAACCCGCGTGCTGCTGTCTGATAAGAACTGCCTCCACGAAGTGGTCTATCCGGAGGGCAGTCCGACGCGATTCAGAGATTTCCAGCTGCAGACGACTCTTGCAGCCGAGGAACATGCAGCAGCCGATTCAGGAGCAACAGCAGATCCAAGAACTACGACACCGACTGCCGCACGTCCACCTCCAGAAGACGACAAGACCCTGAACTCTCCCTCCACAGAAGACGCCACAGCACAAGACACAGGCGCAACACCGAGCACTGCGAATGGGGAGGACCCCGTCTGTACAATTCCATCCCTGTCTCCCTCAGCAGAAGCGGCGACAACGGAAGAGCTGCCTCGTGCTGCAGCGAGGCAGTGGAAGTTCGTCCTCGACACCTTTCAGCAGCGCAGTGTGCTGTGCCTTGAAGCTGGCGAGAACGTTTTGGTCGCCGCCCACACGTCTGCCGGAAAGACAGTTGTTGCAGAGTATGCAATCGCTATGGCCTTGAGGGATAAGCAGCGAGTCGTTTACACCAGCCCTATCAAGGTACAGCGTTTCCCCCTTTCCGCACTGCCACGCATGGGGTTTTTCTTGCTGTCTGTACAGCCCATTGCCATGTTTGCTCGAACGCTTGCCTTTTTCTGCTGCTCCGGGCTGTCGTGCACGCCGATCGGGATATTTCGCCTCTGGACTGCCGTGGCTGCTGGTGCACTTGCGTCGCTGCGACGTCTGCGCTTCACCTTATTTCTTCCCGTCACTCTCTTGAAGGCCATTCTACCAGTGCCTCTCGAATGGCATTGGCTAGTGCCGAAATTTCGCTGCTGCTGGCCACATTGCTGCTGATGCTGCAGGCACTGTCAAATCAAAAATACAGGGATCTCTGCGATATCTTTGGGACTGAAAGCGTAGGGCTCCTTACGGGAGATGTGTCGGTTCATCCGGAGGCCTCTATCGTCGTGATGACGACAGAAATTCTCAGGAGCATGCTCTACAGAGGCTCTGTGCTCGTTAGGGAGGTGCGTTGTAGGTTTTTGCTGCAACTGCAGCAACACAGCTGCATTGAGAATTTCTTTTGACGTAGCACCCATTATACGGCGGCTGCCGCTGCTGTCTCGTGGTTTCTTGGCGCTACGTTCAATTTCAGCGGAGTGCGCTGTCAGTCCCGCGTGCTGCATGTGGTCTGCTGTTGTAATCACGGAAGGCTTAGGGAGAGTTTGATGTTTGGTGTCTGGCGAGGCGATGTGTATTGTTGTGCTTGTGTGCTTCGTCTGTGTTACTGGGGATTCGAGATCTGCTTCCACTTTTGAGTGCTGCAACACATGGGGAGGGAGAGGGGGACTGACTGACCGACTTGCTGGCTGTTCCTTTCCGGAAAAGTTCGTACACTTTAAGGGTGAGGGGCCCTCTCATCATCTTCATAGCTCCTGCTGCCTGCTGACGCTGTGCTCGTGCCGCTGCAGGTTCGTTGGGTAGTGTACGATGAGATTCATTACATGCGAGACAGGGAGCGAGGAGTGGTTTGGGAAGAAAGTATCATTTTATTGCCACCGGGTTCTCGACTGGTGTTTTTGTCGGCTACCATTCCAAATGCGAGGGAGTTTGCTTGCTGGATCGCTGCTCTGAAGCGACAGCCCTGCCACGTTTTGTATACGGAGAAGCGGCCTACTCCGCTGCAGCACTACATGTACCCCCAGGGGGGGGAAGGCGTGTTTCTCGTTATGGACGAACACAAAGTCTTCCGAGAAGACAGCTTCCTGCGGGCTGTCGGGACGCTCCAGCAGGTTGTCGAGCAGCAGCAGCAGCAACAAAAGGGCAGAAGAAAGACTCGCAGCAGCATTACCAAGATCCTCCTCATGTGCGAAATGCGAAACTATACGCCAGTCATCGTGTTTTGTTTCTCCAAGAAAGAGTGCGAAGCGAATGCGCAGGCACTTATTGGACGGGGAGACGGCAGCCCTACTGGTAACAGTAGCGGATCGGTTAGCCTCACGAGTGAAGAAGAGAGAAAACTCATCGCAGAAATCTTCCAAAACGCTGTCAATACGCTTGATGAAGAGGACAGGCAACTCCCGCAGGTAGCACACCCCTATAAGAACAGTTCTTAGCAAGCTTTCAGAATCCTACCTGAAGGGCCTCCCTTACAGAGAGAGAAGTGCAGGCTTGAAATTCCGTTCTGGAGTGCTCCTTGGTAGAAGTGCATGAAGGGATAAAGCTCTGGGGTTGTAGAGGCTTGCTGACCATGATAGACGGGTTGAAGCGTGATGCTCTATCTATATTATTTGGAGTGAAGGGCCTGTATGCAGATCAAATCGATTCTCCCTCTCTTATTGCGAGGCATTGGAATTCACCACGGAGGGCTTCTGCCATTTGTTAGGGAAATCATCGAGATCCTTTTCCAGGTATGAACCCGAAACTAGAGATTTGGACTGTTTTGCGTCGATTGGCAGCTCAATATGCGGGAATCTTTGGGTTGTTTTTGTCCCATTGTGCGCGTTTTGCTGCCAGTCATGGTGTTGCTGCCAGTGTTTTTGTGCATGTTGTATTAGGAGTCTCTCATTCGCGTATTATTTAGCACCGAGACGTTCAGCATGGGGGTGAACATGCCAGCCAAGACTGTTGTCTTCACTGCTATTCGGAAGTGGGATGGAGTCGCGTATCGGTTGCTTAATGGAGGGGAATACATTCAGATGGCCGGCAGAGCTGGTAGAAGAGGGCTTGATGACAGAGGTACAGGGGTTGTTTTCTGATCGCTGCTTGCATGTAGCTGACGCTGCCCGTGTTGAGGCTGCTGCTGCTCACTTGCCGCTTGTTGCTGCTGCTCATTTGCCGCTTGTTGCTCCTCTTGCGAGAGCGTCGTCTGCAGCCACCGTGCCGTCTCTCCTGCTGTGCGGTTAGGCGCATCAGCAATTTGCGAGAGGATCTGCGCTTAAAGCCTCTCAGCGGCCTTCCCACCAAACATAACGGTTTGAACGGTTGCTCTTGCGTTGGCTTGTGGGGTATCAGGCATCGCGATCATCATGTTCGATGAGCAAGTAGATCCGGAGGAAGCGAAGGGCCTCTTCACGGGCGGAGCTGCCCCACTCATCTCTTCGTTTCATTTGGGGTTCAACATGCTGCTCAACCTATTTAGGATTGAAGACGCGGATCCAGCATATATGATATCGCGGAGTTTTGCCTATGTGCGTTGTCAGGGTAGCGTAGCGGAAATATGTATATATATATTATGTATATCCTGGGATTTTTTTGCTTGATTTTTTATTTCTGAGCGGCGTCAAGCAGCAGTACGCCCTTGCGTAGAAGGGCCGCATGCTGCGTGTTGGTGTGTGCTGATGACGCTCTGTTGTTTGAACAGTTCCAGCAGCACCGGCGCTCACTTGGACTGCACCAGGAGTTGCAGGAGTTGCAGGAGAAGTTGCAAGCAGCGGCAGACATTCGCTCCTTGGTATCCCTGCCCGAGGGCACTAAGGAACCGGACTTTGACGTGGAAGAGGTATGCTGTTGACGCTTGTAATTTTTAGCCCAATTTCCCGCTGCAGATTGCGGTAGTCAGACGTAGTAGTAGTAGTAGTAGTAGTAGTAGTAGTAGTAGTAGTAGTAGTAGTAGTAGTAATAGCCCCTGAGGCACTATTGAAAAGCCTTTGATGAGCGGCCACGAGAAGAGAAACCTGCCTTTTATGCGGTATTGCATGGGAAGGCGCATGGGTTGTTGTCTCTCTGTGCCTCAGGCGATATGCAGCTTCTACGGCCGAAAGCATGAGCTGCTGCAGCAGGGTCGCTTGCTGCGCGCAATCGCCATGCAGCCGCAGCACCTCGTGCGATTTCTGCAGCCTGGTCGTCTTGTGTCTCTTGTGGAGGACGATGGCACTGAGTGGGGATGGGCTACTTGCGTTCACAAGGTAACTCCGATGCCAGTTCCGTCGAAGCTTGAAATCCTCCTTGACTTTGAGGAGAGCGGAGCGAGAGTTGGAGGAGAAAGCGCCTGCGTTCTTCCGCATGCCACCAGAGCCGCCTTAGAAAAATACACACTGGGGGTGTGTCTTTGTCCGTCTGCAGCTTCAAAAGCGCAAAGTCCCCTCTACAAACGCGCATGAAGGTCCTGTCGAGCAGCTGCTAGTGCACTGCCTCGTTAGCTGCAATCCAACATCTGTCCAGCCTCTTGAATGCAAGGAAGGAACCTCTGGGAAGGCCCTAGGCAATGTGCCTCTACTAAGGCCAAAAAAGCCAAGACCGGCTCCTCCTGTTGGAGAGGAGGGCAAGGACTATGTGCTTGAGGTAGCTCACTTCCTGCCGCCGAATGCTGCAGCAGGAGCAGGAGCAGCAGCAGCAGCAGCTCATGCGCTTGCTGCACTCCGCAACGGCGGCTTTGGGGGGTGATGCGGGGGGGAGGGGGTGTTACTGAGGGTGTTTTTTGTGTGGGTGGGGGCGTGAAGTTGTGCGGACAAAATGGTGTTTTCTGTGGTTGCGAATTTACATGAGGCTCTCCGCGTCTCATGAAGATAACAGTGGGGTATGAGGGAAGCTCTTTGCTTCGCGGCGTCGTCTGCGCGTGCCTTGCGAGATCCAAGTGGCCTTGGCGCTTGCTGCCTGTGTGTTTCCGTTGCTGCTGCTGCAGATAGTTCCGTTCAGCGTGTCTTGCGTCTCTCGCGTCAGCAAATGCAAGATGTCTCTGCCAGCTGGAGGCGATGTCGAGTCCGCTGACGCCCGCCGCAGCATTTGTTTCCAGCTGCAGATCATTCAAGACAAGTTCAAGGTCAGAGTTTCCTCTTTTTCTTGGTTTGCGGGCGGCGTAGACACTTGGAGGCCTGTGAGCAGACGCGCACAACAGCGTATGAGGGATCTCCGCACGGGGATTGATTGCCGCCTTGGGGGTGTAACAGTTTGAGGCCCTTCAGAAGAATCCAAGAAGGGCTGTTTTCTAGGCACCGTTTTTGTGGATTTCGCCGTTCGAAAAAAACACCGCCGGGTGGAACGTTGCGGAACGTGGAGGGCCAGAAGGAGGCTTCTGTCTCGCGTATTTTGCTGTGCGAGGGGCTAATCATCCGCTTAAACAGATGCTTTCTCTGTGTTGCTGTACCTACAGGACTGTGGGGGTTTGCCGTTGCTGGATCCAGTGGTGGACATGAAGGTTGATCATCCTCAGCTGGCGGTGCGTGGCGAGGGTTATCATTTCCTAAGGCCGTGAATCTTTGAATGGCAGCGGTGTATGGCGTGCCGCAGCAGCAGAAGCTGCATGCTTTAGGGAGGCTTTTTTAAAGCCCTCGTGCGAACTGTGCTGTAGCGCATGCATCTGTCTCTGCATGCGGGCCTGCAACTTGCTACGCATTGGGAACCTGGTGTGCTCAGGAGCTGGTGAGCCGCATGGCTGCCTCTGAGGCGGCGTTAAAGGAGAATCCGTTCAACGAGCACCCTCTTTGCGCCCTCTATTATGCAGCGCAGCACAGGCGCATGCAGATGGAGTCAAGGCTGCGGCACATTAGGACTGAGCTGGATGCCCAAAAAGAGACGGCTATCAAGGTGAGACGGGTGTTTGAGCAAACGGATGCTTTATGAGAGGGGCGGGGGGGCGTCGTGTGTTAGGAATGCTAGTAGTATAGCGCGTGGGAAACATAGAGGCGAAATGTGGGGGGGCCGAAGAAACATGCAGAAAAGCGAAATCCGGCGAGCTTTCGGAAGCATTTTTTACCGCGCCTTGGCAGAGTTGATTTGTCACGAAAGGGAGCGCGTATTCTGGCACGTAGAGCTACTGGAATGACTCCTGTACATACACGTACAGAGATACATGGATGGTTCTACCACGGAAGGGGTGAAGGCCGGCTAGATTTCTATTTGACTTGGGAGAGGATACAAGTCCACATCGAAGCCCGCACTTGAACAGAGACAAAAATAGCACCGACTTGCGAGGGGAAAAAACAAAGGGAGTCACGCAACCTCGGCGTGCCGGCTTAGTTTTGGTAGGGATCTGGAAATTCGCAAGCGAGGGGGCAGGATGCGACTGAGTGGAGAAGGCGGGCAGGAGATACACATGTGAAATGCTCATCCTGCTGCTTCGTTATGTGCGTGCTTCTAAAGGACTCGCTGCGGAGCATGCGCCGTGTACTACACCGTTTGGGATTTCTTGAGGGAGAGGACGTGGTAACGCTAAAGGGTCGAGTGGCTTGCGAAGTCTCAACAGCCGACGAGCTGTTGGCGTCGGAGCTCCTGTTCTCGAACGCGCTGAAGGATCTTACACCGGAGGAACTATGCGCAGTCCTCAGCTGTCTCGTGTGCCACGAGAAACACGATGAACCTGAGCCAACAGAACCTAGGCTTCTAGCAGGTAGGAGGTCTGCCCTCTCTGTTGCTGCATTCCGATCGAGCTTTTTAATGCCCGTGGCACCCAGCGTGTTGCTGCTGCATTCGTGTGAGGGCCCCCCTTTGGACGCCTTTGAGTCGCCGTCTTCCTCCTCCCGCCGCCTGTGCCTCTGTTGGCTTTTGTTGCGTTGCATGCATTGTTGAGGGGACGTTTTTGCCTCCCTTCCTGCCGTGTTGTGTCTTTGTCGGCGGTGAGGAGGCCAGCGTCTTTTCCGCCTGTGTTTTCTTCTGCCTCGCTGATGTTGCGTCATGATGTCTGTGGTGCTCCTCCTTGGGCAGCAAGCAGCAGCTGTTGCGTCATGATCTCTGTGGTGCTTCTCCTTAGGCAGCAAGCAGCAGCCGCTTCTTTGGGGGAAGCAGGGGGGAGAAGGGGGAGTCCATGAGCAGGGGGATCTTCCGCTGCGTGCTTCTCTTTTGCTGCATCTGTTGCCCGTTTCTTGACTGTGTGTCCAATTTGGGATATATATATACTTGTGCCCGCAGGTGTGCAGAAGGTGCGAGAGGTCGCTCGCTATATAGCGAGGGTTTTTGTGGAATGCGGCTACGTGTGGGGCAGTGGGCCTCCCTCAGAGGAGCAGCAGCTGCAGCTGCAGCAGCAGCAGCAGCTGCAGGAAGAGAAGGAGGTTGAGGCTGTGGAGGCCTATGTCAACAATTTCAAGCACGCCCTAGTATCTTTGACGTATGGCTGGGCAAGCGGCAAGTCTTTTGCTTCTCTTATAAGGAACACTTCTCTTTATGAGGGCACTGTAATTCGCTGCATGCGAAGACTTGAAGAACTCTTGCGACAGCTCGCGTGCGCTGCAAAGGCGATTGGGAACGAAGAGCTGGAAGTGAAGTGTGTTTCCGCCATTAGACAGCTCAGGAGGGGTATTATCTTCTCTTCTTCCCTTTACCTCTAACGGATTTAGAGAGAGGAGACTACCCTCCTGGCTAGTCATTTATCTTAGCACTTTATCAGCCAGCTTCATGGGGCCCCCTACCAAAGATCGATCGACCCCCTAAGAAACTGCCGGATCAGTCGGCAGAGGCAACAGGACGCTATGCGCTCGCGCCAAGCCACGAAGGGCCTCTTCCCAGATGCTACAGCTAGCTGTAAACACTTAAATGTATAAATTTTGGTCCAGCATGGTTCCGCATGTCGGGAAGGCGTAGTGCTGGCTCCTCCGTACATACAGTAAATACGCCTTTTTTTCTAGGGTTTTTGTTGCGGTAGCTTCCAGCTGTCTACAGCGCTCCTTGTGCCACGCTATAGCGTTCTTCCTAGACGTTGCGTGAAGAGTCAGTAGGACATGTTAAAGCTTGCCATTCAGATGCCTGAGGTAGTACTGCAGCAGCAACAGCAACCCTACAGCAACAGCACTGCTCGAGCAAGGGTGTTAGGCCAGCAGCAACAGCAGCTATTTTGCGGCTCCTGCACTGTTCACAGCACGGGCTGCATGGGCTACTGAAAGAGAGCAGTGATGTCAAGGTAATGCAAAGTACATAGTGTGTGTGTGTGTGCCAGAATCTCCCCAGAATCTCTCTTCTGCTGCTGGCCCTCCATCCTAGCCTCACCTCCCCCCCTTCCATCTTCAACCCCACTCGCATTCGCGTGCTGCTGTCAGCGTCGGCGCCTCGGCCGGTGCTTTGCCAGCATTGCCTTGACCGCTATTTCTTCCGCCTCGCAGCACTGTTTTGCTCTTAAAAGCCACGCCTGCAAGTCCACTCCACTGCCACTGCCGCTAGTGCTCCCGTTTAGGCTGCTGCTGTCGCTGCTTCGCTGCTGTTTAAGCTCTTGCTGCACAGCTCTGTCTGCCCCCTCAAGGAAGGCAGCACGCATTTGCAAACAGCCCGCCAGTGCCTGTTGTCTGATCCTGAGCCTCGTCGTCAGGCAGCGCAATACAGAGGGAGCCAGCGCTACCTCGTGGGTTTGCCGAGTAGCTCCTTTTAAAAGGCTACTCGCTAGCCGAGCGCGCCTTTCTTGCTTGGATTTATTGTGCTCCCTGGTGGCTGCTGTATCGGCAACACCCGGCAATACGTCTTTTCTCTTGCCGAAGTAACTGCTACTACTGCTAACGCTGCTGCTACTGCGGCTGCTCATATTGCTGCTGCTGCTCATATTGCTGTTGCTGCTGCACGCACGCAGCCGCCGCTGCCAGTGCCGCCTGCCCGCCACACCCCTCCCCAAGGCTTCAGACAGCCACAGCTCCTTGCTGCAGTCGCATGGATCGTTGTCGCAACAGCACAGGCTGCTTTCGTCGCTGCTGCTGTTTCCACTGTGGCTGCTTCGGGTGCCCTCATCGGGGAGCAAGCCCGCCTCCTCCGCTGCTGTCGCGGATTCTGCTGCTACTGCTCGCAGAGACGTTGCCTCTTCAGGAGAAGGCACACTTTTTTCTAGACTAACAGCAGCAACGCAGTGGCCGCAATCATTGGTAGAAGCAGGAAGCGCAGTGTCTTGCAGCGGCTCGACGCACCACTTGCCCGTCTGGCTGTTGCATCGGCCACTGTGGCAGCTACTGCTGCAACACGCCTCAGCAACGCACTCTCGGAAGCAAGCGGTCGTATGAGTTTGCTGCTGCTGCTGTTGGTGCTGCTGCTGCTGTTGGTGCTGCTGCTGCTGTTGGTGCTGCTGCTGTTGGTGCTGCTGCTGTTGTTGCTGCTCGAGGAGCGCCAGGCGCTGCTGCAGTAACCAGTCCTGCTGCTGGTGCCTCATTATTCGTTCCTGCTGCTCCTGGATGATAAGGCTCTGCTGTCGCAGCATGTCTTGATACCGCAGCACATTCATGTGCTCCTGACTTCCAGCTGGGGCTGTTGTTGCTGACGAGCAGGAGTAGCACGTCAAGAAGCTGCGGTCGAAGGAGACAGGAGTGGCTCCAGCAGCAGCAGCAGCTGCTGCTGTTACGTCTGCAGGACTGACACCATATGCGCACATCTGAGACGGCCAGCACAAGAGCGCTCCGGAGGGGGCATCGGAGTAAATGCTGCGCCCGCATCCCCAACAGCACGACTGCTGCTTAGGGAGAGCAGTATTGTACACCCAGTCTTCGCACTGAAGTGGCTGCCGTTGCTGCGACTCAGGAGGCAGCAAGCTGTGGTGCGTGCTGCCTGCTTTAGACACCTTGTGGATGATGCACGAAGGCTCCCTCTGGAGCAGCACGGCCTTACTGTCCAGGTGTTGCTGTAAGGGATCTGCACCGCTGCAGAGCGACGGGGGGGTCCAGTCGAGCTGTAAAGGAAGCGCCTGCGGCTGCTGCTGCTGCTGCTGCGCTTGCTGCGGCTGTGGAGGGAGGCTACTGCTCTGCTGCACCAGTCGAGTTCCCTGCATGTGGTGGTCACTCCAGGGATGACAGTGACGCTGCTGCTGCAGCACCCGACCCCACAGAAAGGCGTCATGGCCATGCGGAAGCTGCTGCTTCAGCTGAGGGGGCAGCGGCGTCTCCTCAGCGCGGTGCTGCTGTTGCTGCTGCTGCTGCTGCTGCTCCTGCTGCACCGGTGTGGAAGGCCTCTGGTGTCTTCGCAGCCAAGGGGGCCGTCGCGTTTGCTGTGCTGCAGAAATGGGGCTTCCGCTGGGGGGGCTTTGCGTGTGCTCCGTTTGCTGCTTCTGATTTTGCTGCTGCTGCTGCTGCTGTTGTGCATGCAGCCGCTGTCTCGGTGATTCGCGGCCGCCTTCGTCATGGTGTAGCAGCAGCAGCTCGTTGCGCTGCTGCTGCACAACGGTGGCGATCAAGTGCTCCTCCTGAAGGATGCCCTCCTGCTGAAGGGGGGGGGGTTGCAGACGCTGCTGGGGTTGCTGCTGCGGCTGTTGCAAAAAAGGCACCTGACTAGAGTGAAGGTTATTGTTGCTGGCGCTGCTAGCTGCAGTAGCCAAGCTGCTGCAGCTCGCATGCGTTGTTAGGGTGGCGTTGCTGCTGCGGGGCCTCACAACGGGCTTGCTAGCTTCAGTGGATGGGAGCAACAGCTGCTGCGGAGGTTGGAGCAGCCGCAAAGTCGTGGAGGAGTTAAGCGTCGTCGTAGTCGGCGCGACAACAGCAGCAGCGGCGGGCAGTGAGGCTGCTGGTGGCTCCGTGTTTTTTGCCTCAACCTCGTTGGGGTAGCTTTTGAGGCACACCTGGAATAGGGGGCCTCCCGATTGACACGGTGCCTCAGAGCCTTCGGGCAGAGCACGCAGATCTCTCGCGCAGTCCTTGTGTTTCCAGCCATGTTGTCTCTGCATCGTCATCATCTGCTGTTGTTGCTTTGGAGAAGAGGCCCCACATCGAAATCCGCGGTTTGCTGTTGTTCGCGGCGTGAGAGGGAGAATCAAAGGGCTTGAGGCGAGCACAGAGGCCCTCTCTGTCAGTGCAGACGTCTCGGACTGCGCGTAAGCGGTTGCTGCTGGAGAGGAGGGCAGAGTAGCATGCATTGTTGGCGCAGACTTTGCTGCAGACTTTGCTGCAGCCTTTGCTGCCACACGGGGTGTTATTGCTGCTGCGAGGGTGGCAGGATTGGCCTCCGCACCAGAAATCGGTTGAAATACAGTCAGAAGATGCATAGTCATCCTTGTGCAGGACGCGCCGCAGCTGCTGCCGCGAACTTTTTGGTATTGCAACAGGAGAAACTGCCTGCTGCTGCTGCTCTGCGAGCATGCAACGCGGGAGGCCACAAAAAAGCCCGCTCAGCTGCTGGGAAGTGATGCTACAGCAGATGATCTGCATGTAAATATGAAGCCGCTGCAGCCGGAGGCCACAAGAACTTTTGGGTACGCTGCCTGGGATGCGCGCAGCTGCCGTATGTAGCTAGTGACCTGAGCACCTCTTTCTGCGGCGCTGTTAAAGCAGCGCTAGAGGCATCTCTTTGCCGACATTTATATTCAAAATCTAGTGGAATTGATTCAAGACTTCGTTTGCCGCAAATCTGTGAGACCTGGCGGGTGTTACTGCTGTTCATCGTCCAGAGCACATCATGACGTGCGAGACGGTTTTGATGTCAGTGGTGATCCTGATCTGGTAATAAACAAAATTTGTGCATTTCCTGTTGTCGAAATGCACAAAAGGAATGATATTCTTCGCTGCACAAAACTGAGTTCCTCGACATGGGCCGAGCCCTCCCGTCTCGTTGCAGAGCGCATAAGCTATACAGCTTGGCTTGGCGGCCAGTGTTGCTTGTATGCCCCCTCCAATATAAAAGCGTCTTATATACACTCACCTCTAAATTGTGTCCATGGTATACGGGGCCCCTGGGGCCCTGTCCTGCGCTGCAGCCAGGAGGCCGGCAGCTGTTAGACGCCAAATCAGTCGGCAGCGGTTCTGCTTCTACTGCACCTAAACCTCCAGAATTTGCAGTTTATATATCCCACAGTATGCGAAATTGACATGATAACAATTCATGATAATTACTTGTCAAACCGGCTGGTAAAAAGAAGGCATAAATTTAGTCTAGAAAGTCAACACGGACTAGGGGGTTGGGCCTCAAAGGGACAGGGAGAGGCCTCAGAGACGGCTAAGCTTAAAACTGAGTTTCAAGGACGTGTCTGGGCCCAGTAACAGTGTATATTAGCAATCATGCTTTGTTACACCTCAGGAATAGCCGGCTTAGTCCCCTCACATGGGTAAAACTGATTGTGCCGCACCCTCTTGGTCAAAAGGACAACCGTGAGACTCGGTCTTCATTTTGTGCTTTTCATCTCAAGCGGCCATCATTCCAAAAGTAATATAATTTTGTAAAAGAGCAGGCGGCCACATAAAAAAGCCTTTACTCCTGGCACGTACCACGAGCATGGGCGAGCCTTCTTTCTTGAAGTGTGTACCAGCATCCTGCAAACCCGAAAGGCAAAATCGTACGGCCTGTAGCGCTCAGATCCAGCGCTACTTTTCTCCTGGATTTGGATACCCCTGAGATGTTTGCTGAAACGGTTTCTGCATGCACATACATCAGGAAAACGAATAATTTCTCGCAACCTTGAGGACTAGGCAAATGATATACCGGAAGGTTGTGATGTGGGGTTTGGGGTGTAAGGATCTACTCGCGGAGGCTGTCACACAGACATACACATATATAAAAATATGAGTAAACAAAGATTCCTATTGCAGTCGTTCTGAGGCACGACCCTCACCCCACAGCCCTCTGGTGACGCTGTATCTACCTTTTCCGTTAAGACGCATTCAACTCCTCACCCACTACAAAATTGATTAGAAGCTATCAAATATTTTCTAAAAGACTTGCGTTTTGTTGCGCGCGTACCCCATAATCAATTGCACAGCCTCTAAGGCGAGATGCAGGCTAGCTGGCCCACAGCCCTTGTTTCAATGATCTTTACTACGGGGTTTAACTGGGCCGTCAGACGTGGAACAGAAAGAGATGACAGGCAAATATCAATAAGGAAGTGGGGTGCGTGCTAACCAGTGGTGCTCTGCCAGCCGGCTGGCCAGTTACTCGTCGTCCAGCGCACTGTATTCAGCTAACTCCGGGGTCGGGCCCAAGCTACGTCCCACGGTATAGGAACTTCCATAGCATAAAGAGGAAACTGAGAGGCAGGTCGGTGATTCGTTGAAAAGCTAAATTGTGGGAATCGAGGAGCGCTTTTGGGCATAATCTGATTCCCGCTGCCGAAAGAGGATGGAAGGCGGCGCATGTCCATCAGTTTTAAGCCCCACAACGAGATTACTGTAAAGCAGAAGTTCTCAATGGTCCATACTGGCTAACTGACTGACAATCCTTGCGTTCTGCTGCCCGTCAGCAAACCCGAATCCTAGAGAGTACGCTAACGAATAAACAAGCAGAGTGCACTTGCGTGCCGTCTCTACGAAAAACAGACCCACTTGTATTTTCAGCTTCACGCAACGGTAGCAATTCTCGAACATTGGAGTAAACTTGCATCAGTGCAGAATTGACCGCGGTAACTCCAGAATAAGGCTCCATACTCTGACCCCCTTCACTGCTCACCAGCATGCGGAAGGGGCCTTCTAGTCCCCTAATGCATTTTTTCTGCCTGCCACGCCACCTGCTCCCGATGGGCCCAGCGTCTCTTTTCAGACTCCTGGCTGTTTGCATGCGCTTGAGGGTCCGCAGAATACTACTCAATCTCCCACAGCTGAAGCATGCGTGGCGTAGGGGGTTGTCTGGGGCTATCACGGTATGCAGTTTCCCTCTGGCTTTCTTCTCCCACCCACTGCAGACTGCAGGCTAAGGCCAGGTGACACGACGCTGATACTCATAGGCCCTAATTTCTGATTTGGTGTTTTCTGTTTAGCCAAAAATGCAGGTGCGCTCATTTCCTCCTGAAGCCCCAAGTAGTCCACCGTTTGTGTAAGACTCACCGATCGGCTGTTTATTTTGCAGACTCTCTACTCATCGTGTGACCACCTGGCGTGATACTTCGGGTACGTATCACTTGTAAAGCGACTATTCGTTTGCGTTGTGGCTTTTGCTGGCCAAATTTTGCATATATCGACAAATTCATCTATGGATAGAGCTGCCTGCTAAAGCTTTTCTTCAAGGCTTGCTGTTGGGTTAATATCGGCGTAAACTAATGAGGCAGGGCTTGCCTGCAAACTTGGATTTTTTCAGCAGGCAGGCGACTTTCTCCGCATAAATAGAGCGAACATCGAAATGCTCATAATTTTTTGCAGATATTCTGCACGGAGCAGTTGTTTGCTTTTGTCTGGAAGACACTGAGAGACGTACATCTCCAACAGGCTGATGAAATCTTCAATTAGTTGCCCATCCATATCGACATTGTGCTTTTATGGTCAACAAAGCCTCTTCGACTCATGCGAAAACATTTATTAGCTGACAGTAACATGCATTTCCACCAGCTGTGGATTTGCTGCTTCGAATTTAGCTTGCTGGCCGGCCTCTGCTATCCCAACAGGCTCTGTGCAACCGTCTACATCCATCACCAGAGGTTTCTTTTTCATGTTGTTGCCGAAGAAAAGTCCCCTTGTATTACTGAAATTACTTAATCACAGCCTGAAGCTGGTCTACAGAAACCTCATATGCTGGTGCATCTACAGCCAGTAGAAGAGCATGGAGCAGCAGCACCGAACCATGCGGTGCTTCCAAATGCACCGCACCATCAAAGGTCTTTGCATGGGTACATTTACCTCCTGACTACATATAAACAAGACAAAAAGCTATTGATTGCTTTTCAGAAGAGCTCGCGCGTATTTTGCCCTCTCAGAGTTTTGATATGATAGTTGAAAGAGAGCAAGGTTGCGCGTAGCTGCATCCTTTGAGTAGTCCAAGCATTCGCAGTAGTTACACGTAGCATCTAGCGCACATGCACAAAGCATTGCGTCGTTTTGTATCGAACTTATAGTACCCTAGAATAAATAAGATCTCCGAGCAGACTTACCAAATAATTAGTTCTTCATAACTAAGTCAAATAAAACTAGTGTAGTAAAGTATGTGATGTAGCTTTGCCCGCTACAATTCTGGCTTCAGGGGGAAAAATAATGTAAGATGGCGGTTTTCTGCATATTTTGGCTTCACAGTTTTAGATCGTAACTTTACATGCATGGACCCAGCTTTTTCTATTAGTAGTGGAATAACCAACTGGAGGGCGAATAGATATAGGAACACACAATTCATTCCAAGATTGCTGATAAATAAAATTAGTGTAATGGAAATTGCCTATGTGACGCATCACATTGGCTGTAAATGCTCGTTGCCCGTTCACTGGGCAACTATGTTTGACTGCTTAAACATAGCTGGGATGCACCAAGGACGCCCGCGCTTGATCGCTGCAGTCCGCTTCCTCTAAACAGACACGCTTTGAGGTGGCGGCATGTGGAGAAGAAAACTTTTGTTCGTCAAAATAGGCATTTGAGAGCGTTTTCTTGGGTTTTGATGAGGCTTTTGAGCATAAACTACCTTACGCAGATCCTAAATTTTACATTTTGTCATGGGAAGTGATTTTATTATTCTGGTTCGATTATCTGCTTGGCTCCCTCTTTGGGCTGCCTTCCTGTCGAGTAGCTGTCTGGCCTCAGTTAGTGTGAAGACGGGGGCCATTAAGATTTGTGTGGCCGACACATGCAAAAACGCAGAGGAAATATTTTTTTGCTGCCAGAAAAGTTTTTAATGACTGCCATATCGGTCTGCCGTACGGTACAGCCTTCCTCAGACAGCAAGGCTGCCTTGAGCTGGTTCCACGAAGAAACAACCCATTCCTGTTAGAGTTCTTCCTGCCCACTGGGGGAGACTGAGGGGATCGAGATATCCGACATCTTACGGAAAAACTCCCAGAAGTCGATATTTTTCAGCTGTGTGTGGTGTGGACCCGGCACTTGAGGCGGGGCAAGAAGAAACAATAACTGCAGCTGTACGCAACGGCCCCTGCTACAGTATGATCCTTCCTGCATGGCACACTGTGACCACAAGCAGGATATGAAGCAGGCATCAAAACTCGTTCAGGCTTATCAGAGCTGCATGAATGTGCTCCATTTTGGCCGCAGCGGAATTGTACTTCCCGCGCGACATTTCGGAGTACTGCCACTTCTTGCTGCGTGTAATTACACCTTCTTTCTTCCTTTTTTCCCTCGTGGATCTTCTGGCTAAAATTTATTGTGCTCGAGTGTGAGCCAAAAATGTATTAACGCACCTAAGCTTGTGGCAAAGGCCTTTGTGGCCCATACTCGAGCTCCTCAAAGGAAAGAGCCATAACCTTGCGCTCTCCTTCCAATGCCACAATGA